ATGGATGACGAAGAAATTTGCTCGTCTAAGCGATCATCTAAAAAATCTAATAAGGTAGGTCCTTGAAAAAAAAAAAAACAAACAAACAAACCAAAAAGCCCCAAAATATGCTGTTTTTTTGTCTCTTCTTCCCGTTATTGTAGATTGTTGGTATCTTAATGCAATTCGGTTTGTTCTGTTCATACAGTTACTGTGCTTATACATTTTTTGTTATAAGATCAGTTGTAGAAAGAAAGAAAGAAAAATTTACGTTTTTATAAAAAAAATTGTTTAAGAATATTGAATAAACATTGTATTTTAATATTTCCTAAATTATATATCCTCAAGTGTTATTTTGAATAAACTAATATTTAATTAAAAAAACTATTAAATTTAAGAAGTGACATTTTGATTTATTTATCAAACAAAAAAAATCAACATTATCATTTGAATAAAGCTCGCGGTTTTATGGTGTCATCAATCTGTATTTTATTTATTTTTCTCAATAAATCGTTTTATTCTTCTTAATCGTTAAGATAGAAAATAAAATAAATTTTATTTTTCCTCAAATAAATTCTGTTTCAATATGTTTAGACTTTCTTCAATCTTAATATTTTGAATTCAAGATTTAAAAAAAAAAAAAAAAGATTAAATTTCCTTTCTTTTAAAAAAAAATCAGTAGTTATTTTTTGCAGAGCTAAAAAGTTTACTTTAGTTGTCGATAAATAAATATTAGTTGGTGTTTTTCTGATTGTTTTTTAAATTTAAAAAAAAAAAAATATTCAATTCAAATTCAATTTCTAATATCTTGAGTAATGTATTAAAAAACAAATAAACGTATTTGGCATGAATGTTTTTTTTTTTTTGGTCTCTATTTCTCAATATTGTTAATTTTTTAAAAGATCTGAATATTTTGAAAAATGTTCGTGGTCAAATAGAGAAATTTAAATTTTAAAGTACTTGTCACTTTTTGTAGCTGAATAAACATTCTTACACAGTTTTTGTTTTTTAAATATTCATTTTTAGTGATTTTCGTTTTACCTATGCAAAACTTCCTCTTTAACAAACAAATAAAGGGTTGATAAGTCGTAATAAAACAAATCAATTAACGATCCATTTCCATACACCTTCAGAAAATGCTCCCATCTATTCATCAATCTATTATCCGCTTTTTCTTGAAAAAAAAAAAATCAACATTACTCATTTTTAGATAAGATATTTTGTCAATATTAGTTAATTTTATTTTTTAACTTCTATTTTTTTTTTGGACACACATAACTAATTCATGAAGTTTTTTTTGTACTAAATAAAGAGATTGACCTAAGTATGTCCACTATTTCGGCATAAATTTTCTATATCGAAGTTTAAAATGAATTTTTTACAACGAAAAAACATTCTTGAAGATTTCATTTAGCTTTAATCGAAAGTTTAATAATTAAATGTACGATTTCTATTAATTAAACAATTCTGGTGTATTTCAGATAGAAACTATATACGTTTGATTGTCAGATTTAATTTCAAATTTTTAAATTTTCTTAAAAACGGCCATTTTCTTAATTTTAAGAAATTTGTAAACAAACACAAATTTATCGATTTTAAAATATTTAAAAAATTCTGACACGTTATTTTAGTAAAATTAAAAAATTTAAAGTTAAAGTAATCTGATTTCAAAGAAATCTTTTTATAGCATAAAAAATAATATACAACCAATTATTAACGAGCGGTCCCGTTCAGTTGTTCGATCTTACTGATAATGATTGATTGACGAGCCGATGACAGCTACTACTGATGACCATAAATGACATAATTTTAAGTCTGAGTTTTTAAAAAAAATTATTCTATTTGAGTATGACACACACTAAATGGAAATACAATACATAAAATAAAATTATTTAGTGAAATAGTAAATGAAAAAAAGAAAAAATAATTTAAAATTTAAAGTTTACACTTTTACAGCTGATCGGAAAATACAATCTGTTAATAAACGAAATGTTTTGAAAGGGACAAAACCCTTAGATCACGTGACCTTGTTATAATAATGGCAATTTTTGTATATCATACATGGAAATAAGGAATGTATTAAGTAAAAAAATACAACATAAAAAATTATTTTTAAAAAAAGTAGCGCAACTAAATTTATTAAACTTAGCAATTTTGGATTCGTAAATTTTTTTTTCTACTTTTAGTACATAATATCGAGGAACCCTCCTAATACAGAGCTTTACACGATTTAAAACTATTATAAATTATTATAATTAAAATTTCTTAAAAAGGAAAAAATTCTTGTAAAATTAATTATTCATCAGAAAAAATTATTTCTTCAGACAATAATGTCCTTAATATTACTTATTTACAAAAGCAATTAAAAGCTTTTCTAATTAAGTAATATCATAGTTTTATGGATTCATTATTTTTCAATTCAGAGCAGATTTTCAGTTAAATAGCTCAAATTTGTGAAAAGAAAAGTAGATTATTTACCATCTTCGAAGACTCCTACTTTTAACAAAAAAAAAATTCAGGAACCAAAAAGGTTTTGGGCGAAATTTCATTAAATTAAGTAAATGTGGGGTAACATATTTTAAAAAATATAATTTTTACCAAAATTTTCTAAAAAAAATATTTCAAAAATAATTTCATTCATTTGTGAATAAGTCCTGAAAATTTCATTAAGATTGGACAATTATTTTATTTTTACAAGAATTTCCAAATCAATATGTTTTCAACGGTAAAAAACGCAAAAAAACTATGTTATTTTAAACGTCGCCGCGATGACGTAAACAAAGACGATTTTAACCAAAATTTCGAACGTGTTAGAAAATATTAAAAAATTTCAAAAATAATTAAAAAATACTTTTTTTCTTTCATCTAAATAATAACATAAGCATTTTGACGATAATACTTTATTTTCTTTAAGTTTGTGGCATTTTTCATTTACGCTATGCTGTTTTTCCGCGAAAACAGTGGACATGCTTAGACCTATTCGAAAAAAAAAAAAAAAAATTAAGAAATTTTATTTTTGTAGATTAAGATTCGTTAGACCTTCCCTAAGCCACGAAATTTGTCAGATTATTATTATTTTTTTTTTTTTATCGATTTAGTTTTAGAAGGAGAATACCGTTAAATCATAAATGTTAAATAATAACAACTTTGGTAACACCCCACACTTTTCATTGGTATCTTCTGCATACGAAAACGAGCCTTTTTTTATTTCACAAAAAGATTTCTTTTAAATAAAGGACAAATGGATATACACATTTTTATTACATGATTTTTTTTTTCTTTTTAAGAAAATATTTTAAACAAGCAATCGTGACGAAATAGGTATTTTTTTTTAACAAAAAAACTTTTCAATTTTCATCATTAAAGAATTGATGTATATAGTCTTTAAAGTAGTGCTACATTTTTAATTAAAGAATAAAAATTTACATAAATTAACAAAAGAATAAAAAATATGCAGATATCGATGACGTAAGTACATTTTTCAAGGCACAAGATTTGTAAATAAAAAATATGCGCAGATAACTCTGTAAAAGTTTGGGATCCGTTTAGCACTATATATGAACAGGATTTCCATTCCAAATGAATAAAATATATCAATATTTTTCTATTCTGACAAGTGTCATGGTATGAGGAGGTTCAAAAGAATGATAATCTACAAATATTATTCCAAGGAAAACTTCTTTTATACGAGTGGGACCAGTCTATTTATAATAGTTCTGAAAAAGAAATAGTTTTATTTTCATCAAATTAATAACTTAGGCACAGAAATTGGAATTTTGAGGTTAAGATTTTCATGAATCGAGTTCAGAGTTGTAGAGAATAAAAATTTAATTTTATTTGTCATCATCTTAGGCTTACGTACTTTAAAATTATAGATGCTATATTGTTGTGTGACTAATGAAAAGATCTCTATTGTCATAAAAATAGACACAAAGCAATAGTTCCATTTAAAAACTTGCCTAACGAATTTAACTCCATACACAGTCTAGTCTTATTAATGAGTTATATAGGTATAAAACTGTAATTAATACTAGATTTTATGTTGGGTTTTACATTTCCCAAAGAATTATAATTATTTTGTAAAAAATATGAGGAAAATCATTTCCAACAAATACAAAAATGCACAAATTTTCTGAATTTCTTTTCTGAATTTGACTCAGATTTTTATTTTTTTGTTTTTGTTTTTCTCTCCTTCAGAGGTATTTGAATATTTCACTTTTGATGAATTTTGTTCCAAGAATTTTTTTTTTTTAAATTTGGACAGTGAATCAGTTAAATTACTAATTTTTAAAAATTAAAAAATGTATTGAAAATATTTGAGATATCTATTTTGAATTGATACAGTCGTGCTATGTTGATTCGTGCTGACCAGTTTGTTTTGTTTTTGTTTTATCAATTCATCCCAAGCAAGGCGATGTTGCCACTAAAACATAAAGGACGATTGGGAGTGAAAGAGAATGAAAAGACTTTAAGGAATCGAAAACCCAATCCTAAACAGAGAACAAGGGATAGACATCTACTTCTGTTCAAAAGCCTGGGGTGGTGTGTGAACTGGACAGCATGCAAATTTATCTGCTTCTATTGAGGAGAGAAAAAATAATAATATAAATAGAATTTCAGTGTTCAGATGGAGACGTCAGAAGCATAGTTGAAATAGCCTTTTTAGACGGAACCAGAAACGCAATCCTAAATATAGCAAACCTCGACTCCTGTTTTTAAAAGACTGGGGGGAAAAAAAATATTAAATTATATTCTATTGAGGTTATATAAAATTAAATATCGTTTCCACTTTTTTTTTTTTTTTTTTTAAATTCCTATTTTTTAAATAAATTCATTAATTTATTAAAAATTACTAAAAATTTAATAAAAATCCGATAATTAGTTGTTTTTTGGTCGTTTTTCAAATCTAGGGGTAAACAACTCTTCCAAGATGTGAATACTATTTGTTTCAGAATTTTCTCCAATCAGTCTTCAATAAAGCTATCATGTTACAAGGTTTTTTTTTGTTTTTGATACACATCTGTTTGTTTTCAAATGTTACTGTGACTGCCGGTAGCTACTTGAGGGTGATCTATAAATTTCTCTTACAGTTAGAGAGAAAAATCCTTTGTTGTTGCTTAGAGTTTAGTAGTGTGTTACTGACACAAGCAGTGGTTCTTATTTCTATAAGATAGATTATTAACTAAGTGAAGCTTAGGTTTGGTAAAAAAAAAATCCATAAGTATGAACCACTTGGTGAGGATCGAACATGCTGCTGGGCCAATTTGTGAAATCGTCCATTACTTGACAATAAAGCTTTAAAATCTAAAATCAGTTTTAATATAAAAACATCTAACTTACAAGTACCCTAGATTTGAACTATAAATATATTGAATCCGGTTTTATTTGAAAATAATCAAACTTTTGCATTGCATTTGATTGAAAAATCTGGAGTGGATTTCACAAAAGATTTCAAACATCCACTGTTGCTTTTTCTTTCTATTTTTATTTTAACTGGATTTTTTTGTAGCAACAAAAAATGGCCATAAACACACTAAACTGTTATTGTCGGACTTATAAACTAATAAATGTCAATGTCTGTGGCATTCTAGCAATCATTACTCATACTACTTTTTTTTTGTTTAATTTCTGGTGACTGGAAAAAAAGACATAACTTTGGTTTCTGTCTTGAAAATTTTTATATTCATGTCAATTTTTACATGGTTTAAAAAAAATAGGGGATGAGGATTCTGTCTGTCCAACATGATGAAGAAAAATTTAGGGCCCAGTTTAGCATTATATTTTATTAACTGAACCTCTTACAACAATGACTTTAGAAATTTTTTAAAACTAATATATTAATAACATTTTCCAAAGTCTCTTGAACAACCACAGAAGATTTGGTGCTATATCTGTCCTTAAGTTATTACAGACAACAGGCAGACAAAAAAAAAAAAACTTGGTGATTTCTAGTAAAATACTAACATAGTACCTGTCAAAAATGACTTGTTTTGTTTATGTATGGATTGACATGTCTACCTATGATATTTATAAGTTTGCATTGTATGGAGTTTAACACACCAGGAAAAAATATAGGTTTATGGATGCAAATGACCGTATATACTTGCGTATAAACTGAATTCATGTATAGTGTGATCCTTGAATTTTTTGGCATGAATTCTAACCATTTTGGCAAAAGATTTACCTGTGTATAGTGTGACCAGTCACTGAAAATGCTTGATTTTTAACCTCTTCCAAAAAAAAAAAAAATGCCTGTGTGTATACCATATATTTCTTGGATAAAAAAACTGATCATAAAAGCTCACACTATACTCAAGTATATTCAGTACATTTTCTGTAGGGATATATGGTTTCTAACTGCAACAAGGAAGACATGATTGATTACTATAGACACTTGCGAAAAGGTGGCCAGATGTTGCTGGACTAAATCAATGTTGATTCATTCAAAACAAATCTGGATATTAAAATCAAAGTTTATCCATATAGCAAATACAACCAATTATGTTAGCTAAATTTTAATTTAGAAATTTAATTTCTGTAATAGCAAAGCATTGGTTTATGTACAATGTAAAATGCATATGCACTTCTCCTCTCCCTCTCATGAATCTATAGATTTAGTGACTTACCAACTTATGTTTTACATACTAAACAAAGGGAAAACTATCAAACTGCCTTATAGCCAAGGGTGAGAATGTTCAGTGTGTGTGTGTGTCTTTTGTGAACACTGAAGCAGATGATCAAAGAAATTGGAATATGCTAAAAGAAAAACAAAAAAATTAAAAAAAATTAAAGTCATCATGAAAATCTCTCTCCCCCATATATATATATATATATATATATATAATAATTGTAGCCTCTGCCTATCTGTTTATCAAACTCCCCCCAAAAAACCACGTATTTTCTGAAACTACATTACCTAAGGTACTTGGATGAGTATATTTCATTTTGATCAAAGGGGCCCGGGGGTGGGGTGGGGACAAGCACCCAACTGAAAATTTTTTTTTCCCCCCTTTTGATTTAAATTAAATTTGAACAAGGAAATAACTCCTATCCAAAGTAAAGAAGGAGAAAGCCACAAAATGGAGGTCATATCAGCAAGATTAAAATGAGACAATATGGATGTTAAGTTGAGCGAGAAATCACCAATCAGTGAGTAGTGCCTTACAATACATATTTGTTGCGACAATTCAACTGTCATATCAATGTTGAAATCTGCTCATCAATTCATTCAATCAAGTATTGCATCAAATATATATCAAGCTAATTTTGCACCCACCCCCATTGAAATATTTCCCTTTGATTTAAATTAAATTTAAATTTGAACAAGGGAATGACTCCTATCCAAAATATAGAAGGAGAAAGCCAGAAGATGGAAGTCACATCTGCAAGATCCTTGAGTAATATTAAAATGTATCATTTTTTCTCCACAAATTATGAGAAGGAATGAAAATCAATCATCATTTTCTTACAAAAAGAAAAAAAATATGTGACATGCAGCAAGGCACAGGTAATTCAGCTAGTAGTATATGAAACTAAGGCAATGTATCTTTTCTCACTACTGTTCTGGAAGTAGTAGTACTGACCCACATTGGCCATATGAGAATAACCCACTTGTACTTTCTAAAAAGGGAGATCAGTCAGTATTTCAAGCATGTGAAATGACATACACTATTAAACATATATTAACCGAGTCTTCAGACCTTGCTCTCTCAAGACAAAAATACTATAATAGGAACAACATATATGAGCTCTTTAAAAAAGCAAAAATGGATGACATTATTTCTTAAAAAAGTGAGCCTATACAAAAAAACATAGACCAAATAAGAATGTCATTAAAACCAACTTCTTTACAAACTGGATATCTGAAAAGAATACATTAATGAAATAAAGCTCTCCACAAAGCCTCTTTACAAGAATCCATCAATGAAACCTGATCTCCTACAAATTGATTTCTTACAAAGAATACATATTCTATTGAGAATATAGAATCCTTTCAAAATCTTAAACAGCAAGTATTTGTTTTTCAACATAATCTCCTTCCTTATCAATGCAATAAAAATTTTGACCTTTAGCGGTTGGCATATTGGCCACTGTGTGAAAGTGCATATACCAAGGCAACCCATATACTACTTAGTCATGGTCAGAATAGATGGACACCAGGGCCCCATGGTGAGAGATCCGTACTCATCAGGGTTCTAAGGGTGAATATAGCTAGAACATTTATATATAGCAAACATTTTAGAAGGTAATTCAGCTAATGTCTGTTGGGCTACAGATTTATTGATTTACTCTTGCATATTCCTATGGGGGGAAAAAAATTGATTTGGAGTCTATTGAAATATAATTTTCCAAGAGGCTTTCTCGGAAACCTTTTGTCATTTTTACTCTCTCTTTTTGGTTTTTAAATACTTTCTTATTTACTTTTCTTTTCTAGATGGAAAACACCCCAAAGCCAAATAATGGAAGCAAAGTGAAATTGAAAGTGGTCAAAAAGAAAGTCAATATCAGACGTCCAAATGGGCTTAATCGATCAAACAGCAGTTTTAATAGCAGCTGTGAGTGCTTAAGTTTTTTTTTTTTTTTTCCCCTCCCATTATAAAAACTACAATATTTGAGTGGCAAATAACTTCACGCAATGAAGACAAAAAGTTGAATAATGAAATAAATGTTGTAAATTTTATTGAATCAAAATGGCTGCTCCATAAAATTAGCACTAAGGTCCGATTCATTTTTGGGACAATCGGCTACTGGGGCCATTCTGATAATTCAATTTTTCAAACCTATCTTTTCTCAATAAATATCATGCATATACTTTATTTCAATCAATTGAGGGAAAAGATTTTCTACTTGGTTTCTTTTACAAGATGTTTCCATCTTATGCAGCTGTCCTTTCAACTAGTCATCAATTTTCTATATATTGATGATTCATACATAGGATATTGCAGCCACAAATTTATGCATGTTGTAATATTTTGTTAAGCTCAAATATTTAACTATGCAATGGAATTTCTATAGATGTTTTATTGTCGTAGAACTGGCCATGAGTTTATTCAATCATTAACTTAAGAATTGAAATTCAAATAGGAAAACTGAAATTTTCACTACTATTTCTAGTTATTAATAATTGTATAAATTTTTGTATCATTGTTCTGCATTTTTATGTATAATATGTAACTTATTTCTTCATTTTAATACAGTAAATGCTTCAATGAGAATAAAGCAAACGCTGACAACCAACAACCGAGCGCTTGCACAGGCTCTTCAGATAACAAAGCAGGACTTGGCTTTGGCCACTGACCTGATAGCAGGCCTGAAAAAAGAAAACAAAGACTTGATGATGGAAAAAGCAGAAACGAACCACATTATTTCTCAAGGCATTGATGGTCAAGTAAATGAAAAATTAAAGGTTGGACTTTTTCTAGATATCTTGTTTTTAAACCACAGAAATGCACTTTTGCTGTATAAGTTTTTTTTTTTTTTTTTTTTAAATCATGATAGAAATTGTGTATCATAAGCTAGTTCTGGGTATGACTGATAAATTACATTCAGCAGCAAAGGCTTCTGATCAGGACATTGGAGGTTTTGAGGATTGTGACTGCACCTCTTAACTGCTGTTGTTTGCAGGTCCACCTTGACCCTGGGGTGGTAGCACCTGTTAGAGTCCCAACTATGGACGAATACTGACCCCCCCCCACACACACACATGCAACATAACACTTTAGAAGTATAAAAATGCTTTTATAATAAAAAATACCAGCAATAAATTTTTATATAAAAAAAAAAATTACCAACAATATGTTTATATCAAAATGACCAACAACATCCGTAGATGAAGCTGTAAAATTGTGTTCAAAATATTTAGATTTCAGCATTAAATGACCCATAGGGGTTGATATGCCACTAAACAATATCAACCAAACAACCAACATGAATGAACTTTAGTCCATATAATATCCTACAACTACTTAAATCAAACTGTATTCAAAAACAAACTTCAACAAAACTACAATATAAAATACACATATCATTGCCTCTAGTAATTCTATATGCACAAACATATATATGCACAAAAGCTGCGTATCATCTACCATGTACTTAATTGTGAAAGCAGAATAATATTTTTATTACCTCAAAGCTCCCAAGAAAATTAAATTTTGGCATTAAATGACTCATAAGGACTTGATATGCTGTTAAACAAACAAAAGAAACTATCATAAGCCAAAATGAAGTAGGGGGAATATATGTGTATTATTAAAATAATAAATAATACATACAGAAAAGTAATGTTTTATGAAAAAATATTGTTATATGTACTAAAAATGTCCCCCAGACAGATGAGTGTCTGCTGATATCAGTCATTGATATTTATAAATGCACCTATAATAATTCTTGTCCATCTGTGACTGTCAAGCGAGATTTCTTAACAATCTCATTTACATATTTTTGTTATTTTTTATGTTTTTAGTTATATTTTCTCATTGCTGGATAAAAATTGTTTGCAATATGGTGCCTATATATAATGTGTGTGACATTGATGACTTCATGGTTAAATTGGTAAGACATGCTTGGCTTAAAAGTGATTTTCTTTAGTAAGACTTCTGAATCTCTTGCGAAGTAGATATTAATTTCATTGTTTTAAAAAAAAAAATAGGATGTTCACTAAATACCAAATTACTATAAGGTAGAGATGGGGCTTTTAATCTCAGAATTCATGGGAGAATGAAGCTTCAATTTTGTATTTATTCATATGGATTCCATAATAAAGGTTTTACTTAATTAGCTATTACGTTTCTTTAACTCTTCAAATCTTGAGTGTATAACTAATTCTAGTTTCTATTTTCCCATCTTTACACTATTATCCCCTATTCTGTCACCCATGAAATAAAAATAATTGTTTCTATGGGAAATAAGGATCTATGTACATCAAATTGTCTTTAAGTAGCAGCAGAAGAATTATCATTGAACTTTTAAAAGGTAAGCTTAAACATTAATTCAATGCAGCGATCAGTTTTGTGTTCTGTAGTTTATTGATGCCTATCGCATCTATTCCTCCCTACCTGTTTTGATGATGACCAAATCAAGAGTCCTCCACAGAAGCTAGCTTAAATGCCACCTGCAATTTTGGGATACAAAAGGAAAATAAGAGTTACTCCCCTTGAACCATGAAAGCAACGATAATGCCTAATATAATGTGTTAGTATATATCTTTAACCTCACATAATCTGATAACTGTGAAATGAAAATTGTTCCTTGCATCTAACATTTCTAGGGATTTTGAATGAGTTATGAATCATTGAAATCGGACCAGCAGTTGTGGTGGAGTTGCTTGGAGACACACATGCACAAACACACATACACTGTACTTTATATATAAGATTATTAATGATGATAATAATTTTGAATTGAACCTTTGGTTGATGTCAAAATCGTCCATTGCTTATTTGTTTTTTATGTATACATACATACATGCACACACACACACACTGCTAGTGATAAAACACCAAAATAATTTTTTTAATTAATTAATATTTTTTTTTGTCATTAGTTAGAAGGAAGACTAAAGGAGTATCTGTTTGTTTTTTTTTTTTGTTTTTTTAATTTTTTTTTTTTTTTACATTCAATAAAATTGAAAAGTTGTTTATATCACATAACAGGGTGTTCCAGGTGTATTATTACATGAAAAGGTTTCTTTTGGCGAAAACAGTAAAAAAACATACATTGATTTTAAGAATCAGTTAACTGATTTCAATATTTTCAGTACTTCATCATTTATGAATTAATTTAATTTGAAAAAGATATTTGCTTAAGCTAACTCAAATTTGTTGATTTAATGATTTGATGTTCATCATTAAAATTATTGGGTATGTATAAATGTCCTCTCAAACCAGATTCTTGTACAATAGATGTCCAATATACAGTGCTACACCAAAGTTTACAACTCATTACAAAAAATGTTTCTTTAGGTATTTCTAACACAGATTAATGAAACTTTTACTGCTAATATTACATGTTTAAGCCTTTAGTCAATCAGATTAAAAAAAATAATAAAAATATCCCAGAAGAAAAACCAATATTCCATAATACAAAAATTTACATTACATTTATTATATCATATATTAATATTTTGTAGTGTAACCATTATTGCTAATTACAGCACATAAGCGTTTAGGGTAGTTCCTTATGAATTTCTTGCATGTTTCTTGGCTAATATTTTTTTCCATTCTTCATGACAAATTCCTTTTATTCATGCAGGTTTTGTGGGTTCCTTCTTTGAATTCTCAGTTTCAGCTCTCTCCATAAATTTTCAATCAGATTGAGATCAGGAGATTGACTTTGCCTTTTTAGAACGTCTATTTGAATTTAACCATGATTTTGTAGGCTTTGCAGTATGTTTAGGATCATTGTCTGGTTGAAAGACCCAACCTGGTTTCAAGCCCAGCGAATGTGCACTCTGATGCAAATTTCTCTCAAATACATCCCTATAATATGCTCCATTCATCCTCCCTTTTATTATTTCAATGTTCCCCACACCTTGGGCACTAAAGCAACCCCAGATTATGATTAATCCACCTCCAAATTTTACTGTTGAGATAGTATACTTGCCTTTGCCACAGCATTTTTGCCAAAAAGTTAAATTTTTGTTTCGTCTGTCAAAAGTACATTTTCCCAAAATGCTGCAGATTTGATACAATGTTCGTTAGTAAAATCCAGTCCAGCAAGAATGTGTTTTCATTTAAGAAGTGTTGTTTTTTTTTTTCCTTCGAGTCCTCGAAAAGATGTCATATCAATGAAGTGAACGACTAATTGTATCCATACTCACTTTTACTCCACTTACTTTTAGTCTTCCCTGAAGTTCTTTGAGTGTAATTCAGGGCCTATTGCCAACTTTTCTCGCCAATAATCTTATCGTACCTTCCGTTACCTTTCTAGCACGACCAGAGCTTTTTTTTTTTTTTTTTTTTTTTTTTTTGTGGGATGAATGGAATGATATGTCTTCCAGTAACAAACTATTGTACCAACTGAACTCAATAGCACATGTAACTGACTCAATGTCTTCCTATATCCAAATCCATTTGTATGACGGTCAACAATACGTTTATGGAGGTCTTGATCAATTATTTTCCTTTTCCCCATTTTGTCGAGGTTTAAAGGACGGTTGACTGAAAAAGAATGACTCATTACTTTTAATCATAACTAAAAGTAATTAAATAAAATTAATCTGGAAAAAAAAACACCTCCCATCCTAATCTGGAATATTCTAGTAAAATTTGGACACTTTTATAAAAAAGCTATTGTAAATAAAAGAATGTGTTGTAAACTTTTGAGTTACTAAATATCAGTTTTTTCTTCATTTTTAAAAAAAATCTGATTTTTTTTTTAAATGAATACCTAAATATATGTTCTACGAGCAGTAAAAGTTTAATTAATGTAACTGTATTAGAAATAACTAAAAAAAAAAAAAAAATCATTTTTGTAATATGTTGTAAACTTTTGCGTGGCACTGGATATTTCACCAAACCCAGAACCAGCAGCCCCCCCCAGTGCCTAGCTATTGCTGAACACTATTTCATGTTCAAAAGTTTTTTTACATTCAATCAGTTTACACTTGAAATATGATGCCTTATATTTCTAAAGGTATATTGCTTTACATATATATATATATATATATATATCTCTATACAAGCATTTTTGTGAGGAAATATATGGGCTTATGTTCAACAGTTTAATCTGAGATTGTTCCCAGCCTTGGTTCTCAGCTTCATATTTTCTCTTGTTTTTAAAATATTTATGACAACACAATGTACATTTTAATTATTAATGAAGCTTCTAAACTTCTTAGTAAGTCTTTTTTGTTATTGTGGATGATAAACTGATAAACACTTCATTTTGGAAGATTTGATGAAAGTCATTGCAAATTAAACAAATTTAATTTTGGGGGTCAGTTCATTAAAACTTATATGAGGTGCTCAAATGCCGAATTAGCTTCTTTTCAATGGTTCCATGACGTTCACCAGCAAATTTTACATATACATGCCAAATTTCATCACTTTATTTTGAATAGTTTTTTTTTTTTTTTTTTTTTTTTAAACTGAATTTTATCAATGAAAATTCAAAAATGTTGAGCCAATTTTTTTTTTTTTTTTTTTTTTTTTAAGCTTCAAATTCTTATATTTCAAAAAGTTATGGATGGCTTTTGATAATTTAAAAACCAAAAGTCATCAATCAGTTTATATTTTATAAATAACCTATTGTTTTATAATAAAAGTTAAGTTTAATTTTTTGTGAGCATTGCTGCTTATATATTTGCCATTGCATTGGATTCTTATTCAAATATGTTTGTGTCTTTTTGAAAATTGCTTTCTCTGATTTCTATATTTCAACTCATTGTGAGGTTTTCCTCATTTTTGTCCCTCCATCTGTCTCTATTTTATTTATTCATTTTTTTCAGCCTTTATTGTTGATGTTCAGGGTAAAAATTCGTGAGGTGAGCAATCGGTTGGTGGATGTTGCTTTAGCAATGAAAGATCTCTCTTCAGCTGTCTCTTCACAGCTTGGTAGCATTTCCAATACCAACTCACGGGTAAATTCTCTGGAAAACTACCAGGAGTTGCCCACTTTTGAATCAACTAAAACGTGAGTTGTATTCTATTTTTTGTCTCTCAGTCTCCTCATAAGTTTATTTTTTGTGTGAAATGGGAAATTGATCCAATTTCTTAGATGAAGTGGAGTCATTATTGATGAGTTACTCTTTTAACTTTATCTTGCTTACTCTTAATGATAGTCATATAGATATACAGGGTGCTCACACCCCTCTCTGGAAAAAAATTGATATCATTTAAAATGTGAATATCTGATGAACTACATGTCCCAAGCAAATGAAATTAAATAGGCTTCATGTTGAACAATAAAATATCAAAATTCAAACAAGGGATGTAGATCTTACAGATTTCACAAAGCTTCAATATGTGCACCGCTTGTGACCCAACACACATCAGGCCGGTTGTCCAGCTCCTGTCAAACATGCTGTAGCATGTATTGTATAACATTCTCCAGTGCCAAAGTGTCATATGAGGAATCTAGATTTCTATAGATGCTCTTCTTACAGACTTTCTGGGGCTTCCCAAGAATGTTTGCTGAATCTTGTTGGTATCTTCCCATGCTGGTGGTCATCCAGATCCCATTGACCGGCATACAGCCTTCCTCTTTGAATTTTTGGTGCCATGCCCAAATCTACTTTACACTTGGTGCATTTATTTTGAATTTTCTTGAAAATATACACTGTACAATCTTTTTTGACTGTGTTCAAGCATATTCTAACACACAAAATGCCTTTTTATTTCTAGTGAATGTCATTCTTCACCCTGTAAAAAAAGAAAATAAATTAAACATTTGAATTAGTTTTTACACATTTTCTTAAAATTTGAGATCATTTGGCTATGCTATTAGATTATAAAATTGTCAATTTTGTGGGGGATACTCTTAAATTAGCTGAATTTCTTATCAGAAGAATTGTCAATAATAATTTTGGAATAGTCCCCTTTGTATTTTTGTTGCTTTTTGTTGTAATAGTCAGATTGTTTTTTTTTTATTCTATAACTGATCCAGGCTTTTTTATTATTATTATTATTATTATTAAAATGAATTTTAATATTTTTATGTTTATTCATATTATGTCCAGATTAGAATAAGTAATCTTATGTACTTATTTATTCAAACTCAGTCATACCAATTCACATCATTTTTAAAATTACATTTGAGAGACAGGTGAGCAGGGCTCAAGATTTTTTCTCACTAGCATCTTGGGAGCAGCCCGAGAAGATTTTCAGGAGGCCAAGTAGGGAATGGAACAGTCTCAGACATTGATTGCCTGGTAGGATGGTTGATGGTCTTGGCTGGAGCTGCCAAACCCTGTTGCCTTCTTTTTGCTCCCCTTTTGGTCTTTCTCTTCTCTTTGAAAATGGAACAATCAAAATGAATTGCTCTTCACCAGGATGGACAGTTGGCTACTTCTGTTTCCCAAATGTTAGGGTTGATTTCTGTTTGAAGGAGGGAAGACTTCTATTGTCTTTGAATCTGAGTTTTGGTGCTCTGCAATGAAAAGAAAAAATATAATTTTGTTTGTTAAAGCAAAATCAGTTGTTATAATTAGATCCAAATGTTTTTTACATTTAGAGGTAAATAACACAAACATCCAAATTTAGGTCCTTTAAACTTCACCTTATCTTCAGGTTTGATTCACCAGTTTAAAAAAAAAAATTGTTTGTGAGCATGCTCCAACACTTATGGAGATTGTTTTTTTTCCTTTTTTAAGAAATTACTTGCTTTTAGAAATATCATAATGGAATTTTAATCAAAGTGGGATCTTTTCTGTTAATTCACTCCAAAATAAAAAGAATTTATATTTACTAAAATTCTCACCCAAATTCAGAAATGTCCTTTAAAATTTGTCCAAAAATGGATTCATTGTTATTTTTTGCCTGAGATCTCCAAAGAGGCTCACACAAATAAGAAGCCCCTATCATGCAATGAATCCCAAACATGGATTTATTCTTCATTTTGGCATTCCATTAGGTATTTTTGATTATTTGCATGTGATCTGGTGTTTCCGAGTCAACGAAATTCATACCATGATTTTCAGTCAGATGAATAGAATTGGGATCATCTTTCAAAGATGTATATCCTTTCCAACAATCCAACATAATTTCATTGATGAAGGAAGAATATTTACTCTCTGTAAGAAGCAAATACTACTCTCCTTGTCATTGCATTCTTGTATTAACTCCAGCAACTTTATAGCAAGCTAAACAAATTCTGATTTAAAATTTATATTTAAGTTGTGAAAATTAATGCAAAAAAAATCACGGGTTCACGCTATACATGAAGTTGGCTTATGCACAGGTGACTGACATATTTTTGCATTAGGTTTTGTTTATATTTTCTAAATTTGGTGAGGCTTATCAGTTATGCAATTGTCTCCCCCATATCTCTCACACTTTGTCTCTCCAGATGGATTCACGTGGCTGATAAATTCTGATTAGATACCATAAAATCCTAAGTCTAGATTTTTCACCCCTCTTTGTGTTAAGATAAAAAGATTTTTTTTTTTTTCTGTTTAAGGCCAACAAAGGAGACGTTTGTCTCCCCTAGACGAAGGATCAATGCTCAAACTTTTAATGATCTGAGCCTTATTGCAGAATCTTCTTTCTTGAATTTGGAGCAGGTCCAAAACTCCATTGATGTCTTGGACATGGGTAAGTGTCTGTTTTTTTTTTTTTTTTTTTTTTTTTTAAATATGGTTTGCTCGAATTTTACAATACAAACAATATAAAAAGGACAAAACTTAATTTTGATTGGGGGTGGGGGGGCATTGAGTTCTAATTTACTTTTGTTCAAGAAGACTCCCATAAAAAAGCACGTTATTTTTGCTGTGTGTATATGTATCTATGTGCGTGTAAAGAAAGGAGATGTATTTTTTATTTATTAATCCGACAGATTACTTGAATGTTATTTTTAATGGATACTTGTATTTGAATAGACAAAAATAAATAATGCTTTATAAATAAATGGTGAGTCTTCTCAAATATGAGTATCTACTAAAAATAAGGTTTAAGTAATATATATAAAAATTTTCAAAAGAAATGTGTCAGCATACCAACATGTAGGTATGTATATTAAACTTGTTTGAATTTCTGAGATGATGAGTTCTCAAAATTTACATTCTTACGTATGTCATCATCTTTCTTATCACGATGTTTTGACTGTTGCAATCTCCCTGGTTGGGGTAGTACAGACTTTATGGAAATAGGAAGAGCAATAACTGAGCAGTTCTAAAACAACAAAGGTGAGATATCCTGAGACATAGACAATGGAATGAGAATGATCTAACCTTAAAGATGAAATAAAAGGTTCAGTTTGAAATTAACTGTTATCTTGATTGATAGGCACCTGAATAAGGGCACAATGTCTGAAACATGATAATAGCAACAAAGATAAGGACATTAGTCTGTATGTAAATAAATTTCCTAATTTCCAGTGAAAGTTTAGATAAAAATTGTCTAATGTCTGAGCAATTTTAGCCACCATTAAAGAATTTTTGATTTCTTTTGTGCTCTGCTATTACCATTGTTTTTCAAATATTGAATCTGGATTTTTTTTTTCCTCCTTTTAGTACTAGAAAATGAGTCTGAAAAAAGCAAGGATGCAAGTGATATAAAACCCGCAAGCACTAACAAACCTCCTCAGAGAGTTCCTGTTGAAACAAGACGTTCTAGATCAAGACGAGGAAGCATGAGCCGGCGACAATCAATGGACGAAATTGACTTTGGCTCCAATGTTGTCAAGACTCGCAAATCTAGACGCTCTTCATTCTTTGTCCCTACAACAGGTCTTGAAATGGCTCTGCGTCCAAGTCTTGGAAGTGCTATGAAAGATGATGAAAATGATAGTAATCCTGAGAACCAAGACCACGACAATAATAAAGTGGAGACTGAACAGTTACCTAGTCCTGTTGTACCAGAAGATGATACTACCATTTTGTTAACCGACCCACCTGTCACTACAGCTGCCATGGAAATAAATGAAGTGTGCCCTGACATAAACGAAGATCTTCAACCTGAGTTACTGGCAACAACACAGCTCAACAGTCCAGCACAGATTTCACAAAGCCCTGCCCAACAGCAACAGCAGCAGGAAGATCCTGTTCCTGTTGTGCCTGATGTCTCCCTGGTCACCACCAAAACTGCACCCCCAACCCCGGCTGAAGAAATTAACTACACAGTTGTTAATGAGGTTGACATGGAGTTAACTGAAGTCATTAATTCATCTGTCCAACTCAATGTTGAAGCTATTTCATCTGAGCCTGATGTTCAAAGTGCCAAAAAGACAGAAGACCCCATTTCTGCTGAGCCTGAGGATACTAAAAGTAGCAGCCAAAATGAAGAGCCTGTCTTTGTTCAGCCTTTCAAGGTACCTAAAAAGAAAAAAGAAGGGAAAAAACAAATGAAAAATACCAAAGAAAAGCCTAAGGAAACTTCAGTAGGTAAGCAGTTTTATGTATTTTTTTGGGTATCAAGTGAGAAAGACAAGTTAATTTGATGTTGCTCATAACGATTTAATATATACCTATTATAAACAGAAATACAAGTGAACTTGTATAGTACAATGCTATTGGGTATTATATCTAGTACAGTGTAATGTAGTGTGGTATGTCTACTATAGTGTGGTGTGTTATGTCTAGTACATTGTGGAGATCAACTGCAAGGCTGGGGTGATCTTGATTTTTAATATGAGTTGAAACTTTAACAATACTAACTATTCAATATTGACTATATTAATGACTAGTCTGAAAGTTATAGCCAATGTAACAAAATTTTAATTCCATGAAGATCTAGCAAATACTGATGATAATAGTGAGAGAGAGAGAGAAACAATAAATGCCATCATAATTGAGCTCTAATAGCTTTTGAACCTGATGTGTTGGTAAGGTTTAAGATTTTTTAAGAAAAAAGAAAAAATACCCACTGGCTTTAATGATACTCCCTCAATGTGCATTAATCATTTTCTGTACTAGCAATTTTTTTTTCTCTCCAATTTGTTTTTAGTAAGTTTCAACATTATGTTGGGCATTGAAAAATCAGGAAGAAAGAGGTTGTCAGGAAGTGTTAGTATCAAAATAAGGGCAGTTGTATGTATAATTATTTATTTTTTTATAGAAATGCATTGTAAATGATTTTTTTCTGTAGAAATGTCAGTTATTTTGTATTTATGGCAAGTTATCCTAACAGATAACCATCTGTTAGAGTTTATCATAGGAATCAATATTAATCAATTGATGATAATGAAAATTTTAAAGATCTATAAATAGTATATTGTATGAATTTCAATTTTTAATATTTATCCATACTAAAAATATTGATATTTTTGTGGGGCTGTGAAACATAAATTCCTATAAATAAATCGGAAATATATAGGCTACAGAAATATATTTGATTACAATTTATTTGTTCACATAATAATATCCTCCCTGAGTGACCATGTCTTCATGGGTGTAGCCATACTCAACACACTTGACCAATTGCAGGTTGGTGAAGCTATTTAACTTGTAGTTGGGGTGGATGGCTATTGACTCTGAGGAGTTCATCCATCCTTTAACACAGTGGTTCCGAAACTTTTTTTTCTCTGGGTTACATTTTTGGAATGAAAATTTGCTCATGCCTCAGCAAATTTTAGGCAATGAAAGGTACATTAAAGGTTAAAGGGAGACAGCCGTGGATTCGAAGTCAGAAAATTATTATTGATAACTCTCTCCTCGAATTTGTGGATTCTAGTTATTATATTGTTAATACTTGATGTAATGCAAAAATATGACAATGATAAAATCAGTCAATAATTATTTATAAGTATTGGGATCTGTGCATGTAATTAGAAGTAATCGATAATAATAATTTAAATTTTGAAATTGTTTACTTTGGCATATGAATTTCTTGAAACTGTTTCTAAATGTTTGTCTTTTAATCATTATGCCTCACCTGCTATCCTCTTCCATTACACCTGTGAAGTGCACCACACTGTTTGGGAACCATTGTTTTAACAGCTCTTGTTTTTTGTGCTGCTGAGGTTCCACTTAACCTCCTCATCAGACTTGGGTCTGTGGGAGAGCCGGTTTAGTTGTTAGCCACTCTGGTTTTGAATTAAGAGTTGCCCTTCTCCTAGACTGGTTACCATTCAAGGCTATAGGATCCAGTCTGTCTTGTTATTTATCCATATCTTTAGGGTGAGAGAAGAGATGGATTCATGCCTTTCCCAAGGGTATTTGCATGTAAGTGAATGTAACAAATTTGGCTCTCCAATTCCTCGATCCAAGACACTATCCATTACTCCAACATGTCTCCACTTTATCTATATTACATATCTTTACAAAATGATGAACAACAAATATGGTATTGTAAATATTTTCAATAACTCTGATCTTATAAGCTGAAGTTCACATGGTATATTTATCATATAAATATATCCTGAAAATGTTATCACTATTTAGTCAATACCAATTTCATTGTAAAGACATTGGTTTGCATAATAAAATCTAATATGTATAATATATTTGTATTGTTAATAGAAATACATTGAAAATCAGGAAGAAAAGGTTTGTCAATAATAAGTAATTATTTTGTGATTTGTAGATTGATCCATATTCAACCAACTGATAAATAGAAAAGATTATGATGATGCTTCCTTGTTAATCTGTTTTTTGGATAAGTAATGCAATGATAATAGTTTTCCAACTTTTATTTATTTTCAGAGGATGAGAGCAAAACTGTGGTGGAACTGAGATTGCCAAAACCAGGCAAGATTATCTTTTCCGCCATGAGAAAGAACATTGCTGGTGTTCGTCCTTCTCCCCCAAAATCAAGATCCAAGAAAAAACTTGCTGAGATGAAGAAGGATGAACTGACTGCCGAGCCAAAGAATCTGTTTGACTTTCATGACAAAACCCCTCAGATGTTTGCTAAGAAACCTGAATCTGCAGAGACTGGCATATATGATGTTTCTCTGAATGATTCAGTGTATGGAACGTGTCAAAGTCTGGGCGAGTATCGTGAGAGGGTAGCCATGACTAAGAGATTTAGTTCTGCGAACACCAATGAGCTTCCTTCAAGTTCTACTTCCTCTACAGATGTTGCCCAAACTGAAGTTGGTGAAGGAAAAACAGAGGCAGCTCTTGAAATACTACCAGATGCAGGTATAAAGCCTGTTGAAGAGAAGAAAAAGCGAACCAGATCTAAGAAAGCAGCCGATGGTAATGAGAAAAAAAAGCGTTGTAGGTCCAAGAAGAGGGTTGACAACAGTGACAGTGACAGCGATGGAGATAAAACATATGTGAAGCTTTATGAGAAAACTGTAAAATCTGGTGATAGTGATGTTCCTGAGAGGGAGACCACTCGCAGAGCAAGGTCAAAGGTGATCAGTTACAAAGAAGAGGAAAGTGATTTTGATCTGACATTGGTTGAGAAGAAAACCCCAATTATTTTGAAAAATCCAGAAGAGAAACAAAAAGTAGTTGCTAAAGAGAAAGAGGTTGAAAAAGAAATTGCTCCAAATGTTGAAGACTTTGAATCTAAAAATGTGACAAAGAAAGAAACTGGACGCAAAAGCCTGAAGGGAACAGGTGAGAAACGAACACGATCTCGCAAAAAGTCTGCTGCTGAGATTAAAACTAAAGACCATTCGGATGATCCTGTGTTGGAAAGAGCAGAAACCTTATCCCCAGAAAAATCTGACAAGGTGTCTAAAGGTACAACCCTAACAGAATTACAGGACCTCATCAGCCGATTAGATAAACTGCAGAAGAAGCGTTCTCACTCTCAACCTCGATCTGGGACTAAGCCTGAAGATGAAGCACAGAATCCTGCCGAAGTGGTATCAAAACCCAAATCTACTAGTGGGGATATATTTCAACGTTACAAAGAAGCCCTTGGTTTGAGCAATGACCCCAATCACAAAGATGAATTAAAGAACAAAGAATGTGCCAAGTCAAGATCTCGACCAGCACGTAACGAGAACTCAGATAAAACAACTGTCCAGAACCAGTATGGAAGGTCTCGTTCTTTACGTGTTCAGAAATCTTCTAACTGCATGGATGACAAGGTGGAATCCACACCTGAAAAGAAAAGATCTCGATCGGTTTCCAAGAGGGAAAAAAAGGCAGTTGAACGTTTTTCCCCATCCTCTCCTTTGAAGAAACGAGAAGAATCTCCAGAAGTTGGGAGAAAGAGCAAAAATGAAAGAGGGAGGTCAAAATCCCGGGCAAGGTCTAAAGGCAAAATTCTTGTGACAGCTTCTTTGTCTACTGAGAATAATCCTGATGAATCTCCTAACATTCTCCAGCGAAAAATTAGGAAGGAAAGAGGACGGTCAAGGTCCAAGGCAGCAGTTGCAGATGCTGCTGTTATAGATAATATTAGTGATGATGTGGAGACGACCAAATCTGAAGCGAACTTGAACCGTCGGAGGACAGTTAGATCTCGTTCTACAGCAGGCAGAGAACTTTTATCAAAGTTGAAAGATTCAAATGCAGAGAATGAAAATAAGGATCCCAAAGATTCAAATGTACAGAATGTTGATATGGATGCCACTCGAAAATCTACCGAGTCAGATGTCCCAGAATCCTTACTTAAAAAGGTAACTTTTTTTCTTTTTTTTTTTTTCTCTCCATTTCATGGGGGTGGAGAGATTTCATAGGTATTATTTTTTTTCTAAATACATGAGTCAAAAGTCACAAACAGATCCAAAATTTTAAGAAATTTTTAAAATCAATATTAAACGTTTTTACTAAAATTTATATTTATATATATATATATATATATATATATATATATATATTTTAAAGTTATTTTTGTAGGTACAAAATTTAATGATCGAAATAAAAGTATAAAATTTATTATTACAAGACATATTAAAACAATATTAAATAATTAAAAAAAAAAAACTCAACAACAAGGGAGGGGGGGAAGCAACCGGTTTCACTCCCGCTCGTCAGGCTTCCACAGGAGATTCAATATTAAAACAGAGAAATGTACAATGAGAATAGGTGGAAAAAAAAAAAAAAAAAAGCATATATATATATATATATATATATATGCAAGAAGGAACTAGAGGCAGATGACAGCGAGTCCCAGCAAACACTCACGTTGTTTGCACAAAGAAGGCTTGCGGGACCCGATGTAAAGTGCCTCCAGAACATACACACACATATATATATATATATATATATATATATATATATATATATATATATATATATAATTATTTATTTAAAATATGATTCCAACTCATGACATAAGTTTCTGGCTCTTATTTTGAAACATGAGACCTCTTATGTTGCGAAGTTGTAATCATATTTTAAATAAATAATTATATTTATGCTCTACTTTTGTATCGAGCACTATTTTTAAAAAAATTATATATATATATATATATATATATATATATATATATATATATATATATATATATATATGAACATAGAAATCAACACTTAGAGGTGACAGTCTGTTTCATGCTAGATGCGATCGTCAGGCCCGACGATTGCGTCTAGCATGAAACAGACTCACCTCATCTAAGTGTTGACTTCTATGTTCACTTTTATATTTACACACGCTTTATCTCTGATATTGAGCACTTTATCCAATAAATATAGCACATCTTAAGACTATATTTCTTCATATATATATATATATATATATATATATATATAATACACTGTTCCACTAGAGCATGTAAGTAATCACTACAAAATTGTACATTTTATTTTGACGTTTAGATAAAACATCTCTTCAAGTAATTAACATCATTGTTAATTACCTGAAGAGACATTTTATTTAAACATTGAAACAAAATGTACAATTTTGTAGTAATTACTTACATGTTCTAATGTAACAATGTATAATAAATATTTATTACTCTACTTTTGTATTAAGTGTTGTAATTTTATTCTTTGTTGTTTTACATTTGGATATATATATATATATATATATATATATATATAAGGATATCACAACAAAAACATGTAAGGATCACTACACAATTGCAGTTGTGTTTCAACACATAACAATGCATCTCCTCAGGCGATTGTAGATTACTGGCGAGTGAACAATTTGGTTTCAAAAGCAAAATGCATCCTCATTTTATGAAAAAAAAAATTGTGAAATAAAAAAATAAAGGCCTGGGGGCTTTACCCTGATCGACCAATTGAATATGACCAATGTTAAATTCAAACTAAGTGAAATAAAAAAAATTGTGTAGCAATCCTTACATGTTTTTGTGGTAATATTCTAAAACAAATAATATTACTCTATGTATTGAGCCCTGTTTTAAATTAAATGTTACAAACATTGGAAGTGTATTCTATTTGTTCTCAAGGTACCAGGATATATATATATATATATATATATATATATATATATATATATATATTCCATCTTGGGGATTCAATTATTTGTCTGTTCATGGATGATTCCATACTGTTTGTACCGTGTAACCCAATATAATATGTTGCTCTGCCAGATAACTCCAAGTTCCTGAGGGAAGAAACGAGTTACTGGAGATGGCACCCTTGACAGTCTTATAGGTCTGGGAAAATGTCAATACCTAATATAGTTATCAATATCATTTCCTCAATCATGAAAAGGAATATATTTGCTGCAGGAATTTTTAACTAAACTCATCCTTCAGAGATTTTATGGATCATTCATTTTGAAATTTTCATACTTTTAATAGTCTGAATGTAAATAGTGTAAATAATGATAACTTCTGATGAAGGCTAGAGGTCACAATGGCTGAAATGTTTTGATAACAACAACAAAGATGAGGACAATAATTCAAATGTAAATAATGATAACTTCTCAATCCCAGAAATTCAACCAGAAACTTAATTTAATATTGATGTGAACTTTCATCCTAATAAATTTGACATTTTTGATCTCGGCTAAAACATTTATTTTTTCTTTTTAATTGCTATGTATCTTAAGAGGTAATTTTTAGAAATTTAGATTTAAAAGAAAAACATCAGTAAGTATATTTATTTACAATGGAGGATAATCAGGCATGATTATCCATAGCTTCCTTTGTTTTTAATATTGGTATATATTGCTATGCCTGTTCTTTGTAAAAATAATGGAGTGGTTTCCTGTTAGTGTCTCTATAGTTTGTTTGAGTTCACTTGTTGTTTTCGATTTTTTCCCCCTATTAAAGCTAGTCTGCCTTACTATTTCCCTGCAGCAGGGGATGAGTGAATAAGATGGTTTCATGACTTTTCCAAAGGCATGAAATGACCACAGCATCCATAATTGGAATTTTAATTCTGCCTGATAATTTTGTTTAATGTACTGATAATCCACCTTCCAAATGTTTCTTTTTCTTCTCTCTACCTCATAATTATTAGAAGTCAGTTGATTGAGATCTTTGTTTTGTTGCAGCCCAAATCATCCTTTGGTAATAGCAATCAGACTTCTGAGACTCTGAAAACATCAGCCAATGTTCAAATCAAAGCCACAACTGTGTCCCCTAAAAGATCTTTGGAAAACAGCCATGGCAAACGCTCATCTGAATACACCAATGAGTAAGTGATCTTCAAATTAGACTTTATAATCATGAATTTTTTTTATTTTTTTTCAAAGAATTAAATGAAATCTGCAGAACCATCTACACTTTTCAGAATAGTTTAATACAGAAAACTGGTGCACATAGTGTGCCACAAGGACCTCTACAGATTTTGAATATTCCCTTCTACATTGATGGCTATCCAAGGCTAAAGAGCCCAGTCTCATAGTTGGGAAGGAGAGATGGATTCATACATTTCTCAAGAGTATTTGCACAGGAGTAAATAAGGGAAAATGATATCTAGGATGCGATGGATAAATTGATGTCTAAATTATGCAAAAATGAAAATAAAACTGACATATCATTTTAACAGATATATTTACCTATTAAGGACATGTGGCATAGTGGATAAAGGTTAGACCAGTGGCAGGACCCAAAGAGTTGTGAGTTCAGTACCTGGTTAAGGCAGTGGAAAACTTGGAGAGGTGAATTAACAGGAGATAACTGATAACTGACATCCATTAGACATGGCATGTGGAACTAGAACAGTCTACCCTAGTGAGCAAAATGAAGGATTCAGTTCAACATTCCAACCACCTAAAGAAGGCTAGAGCATACAACGGCTGAAATATTGTGATAAATATGGCAACAAAGATGAAGACATCAGTCTGAATAATGTAAATAATGTTTATTAACCAAAATTACAAAAAAATATCTTGAAATACTAAAGTTAATTTATTCAATAAAATCACCATTACCTTCAATCATGACTTCCAGATGACTTCAGAATCTCCTACAACTCTTCTGGACGGTCTCCTTGTTTAAGTTGGTGAATGCTGCCATAATCCTTGCCTTCAGTTCATCTTTGGTTTATGAGGAGTTTTGTTGTTCTTGTGCTCAGCTGCACCCCACACATAATAATCAAGAGGGTTGCAGTCTGGTTCTCAGTTGTAAGGGATGATGTGGTTGCATGAAATGTCTAATAGTTATGACCTGGTTCTCCTGCATGTTTGGTATGGTGCAGAGTCCTATTGCCAGACATAGGATCTTCCAGCAGCTACCATCTTGACCCAGGGAAGCTCTCTCTCTCTCTCTCTCTCTCTCTCTCTCTCTCTCTTCAAGGCACTTGATGTAGGCCTCCATGTTGAGTCTGAGGCCCTCACTAACAAATTCGGGGGTTCTTTTCTTATCAGTGAATTTTCTCAGCTGCCGTATCTTCATAATCACCATTAGACTATTCCAAATCTTTCTGAATCCTCTGCACGTCTGGCGTAAATGCCAAGCAATACAGCATGCCACTTCCAAATTTGTGGTGGGGTGAATTGCAGCATGGTGCTCTTTTTCTCAGAGACAGTGCCCAACTGTGCAATCAACAGAATAAAAAACAACGTACATACACAAAATTAAAAATATAAAATGGCGACAATTTACCCATCGCACACTATATATTTTGTCACACATGGACAAATGTGTTTGCCAAAATGATGCCTTTTCCCATGACACTACTTTTTTAAGTACATCCACTCTTTGGAAATGTTTGTTTTAAAATTCATTCACCTATATTGAATATGATTTATTACTGTGATTAATTAGGTTACAATAAAATTTGAATTTTATATGAAAATTATGAAAATTGAGATGTAGAGTGAGTGAGTGAGTATGTCACCCTTGCACTGGCTGTGTGTGTGTGTGTGTGTGTTTGAATCACCACTTCCGCTTTTGTCATGTACAGATACATACACACTTAATTTTGAAATGTAGCATTAAAACATGCCAGTATTAAGCTAAACAAAACTGTTGTCTATGTATTATCCTAATAATAATAATAATGTTTCTGATGAGGTCCCAGATAGTCAAAAAGAAAAATATGAACTTTAAACAGTTTATCCACAAATTTGATCCACATGTGCAACCACCTGGTTGAAAAAAATCAGGAAAATGCAATGAAAACAGATCAAACTTGGACAAAGATTGTTGAATTTATGTCAGGATATATGTACATATATAGTTTCAGATGATTGGCTCTTTTTAGTCGATATAAAATGATTTTTTTTTTTTTTTTTTTTTTTTCAGTGAAAATCAAGATTTAAAGCGTCCACGCCGTGCAACAAAAACAATGTCATATAAGGAACCTTCAATTATGAAGTAAGTTCTTTTTAAAAAGACAATTTATGAAAAATTAAGCAATTTAAATTTAATGTCATTATATTAGAATGCTGTTTAAATTTGAAATGCTGTCGTGTTGGAAATTTGTTTTGAACCTGACCAGAATTCCCTATGCAGAGTGTGGTCATTTGTGTTCATGCATATATATATATATATATATATATATATATATATATATATATATATATATATATATATACAAGGATCAATCCAAATTTGTATATACTTATATTGGATATAATACAACATGCCTAACAAGAACACACACTTTACAACTCGCTGACTATAGCTCAATTAGGTCTCATTTAAATACACGTGGAGACCTACCAAACTTCCAGTTGCGGTGCAAAACTGTGCTATTTCTCCTACCGGAATTTTGGAGTTGTCTCTTAGTCACTGTCACCAGGTTGTGTCCTGGTCAATTGGTGGTCGTCGCTACTCGGCAGAATCCTTTGGTCAGGGTACCAGCTGCAACCGGTTCGGCACCAGCTCTGTCGTTCCCAGCTCACTTCCGACATCATCTGGTTACTGAAGTAACTGCTTCGATCTCAAGTCTAACCTACCCACGTTGTAATTTTGATCTTAGGTGGATGTGATCAATCGGGCCATAGTTTAAGATGAGTCTAGACTGGAGGTAATATCGCATAAGTGTAAAAAAAAGAAAAGAAGCGCAAAAAAAAAAAAAAAAAAAAAGAACCCAAGAGGTTCAATTATATTGAAAGTAACAAATTAACTTTTATCTGTCTGTTATATACAGGAGTGTGTGTTTTTCTCCCAACCTGTTTTCTACAGAGTGTGACACTTTTATGCTTCTTAGGCAAGTTCTGGTCCTCTAAGACAACTGGTTTAGTTTTTAAGTGCTGGCTTAGCTTCATTTGTCAGTATAACTTGCTATTGGTAGGATAGGCAAAGTTGGAGGTCATGGAATCTCTCAGTCAGCTTCTGCGAGGCAACATTCTGGTTCCTGCAACTCCAACTCACGAACTACTGTCAGACGGCCCGAGGTAGATATCGACTAAAAACTGGTGCAGGGTTAGACGCAGTCTGGGGTTTTCGGTGAATCCCGATTTCTAACAAGAAACTTCTTTGTTGTTAGGCCAGGAAAATTGATTACTTCCCATTTTGGAAAATTAATCACTTTCCATTTTGGGGGATCCTTTCGTCTGTGAGGAGAGGTTGTAGGAGAGTTACAAAATCTCATTTTTTCCATTGGCCAAAAATTTTATGAATCACCATTGGCCGACAATTAAAATCTAAACTGGCCTCATTAAAATTATAGCCCAGAATTTTTTGGTTTACAAAATTTTTTTTTCCATTCTGAATCATCATGGTAGCTAAAATTAATCTTTTGGTCCCCAGCATCTTCTTTTTTACAACAAACTCCATCAATCAATTGTCAAAGTCTGCCATCTTGTTCCTTCATGAAGTTAGCATTTACGTGAACCGTTGGCTTCTTGAGGCGGGGGGAATGGATGATAAATTTCTTTATCTCCAAATTGGCAATTCTTCTGACATATTTTTCTCATGCCAAAATTTTATAATCAACACATGGCTACTTAACGTGTCGGTACTAAAGATGACATCTTGGAAAAATAAACAAGGGTTATTCTCTCTACCCCGTATCTACAATATTTCAGAATATTTTCTCATGCCAAAACTTTTTATAATTACCATAATCTTCTTCTCAGGTTTTTCGTTAATCAGATATCATAGCACAGGGTGCGATGGATAAATTGACGTCTAAATAATGTAAAAATGAAAATAACACTAACTTCTCATTTTAATGGATATATTTACCAAAATTTATAGTTTTGTCTCGTTTCTTACAAGCTGGATACAGATCTTTAATTTAAAAACAAAAAATTAAGTTCAATAGATCCACAAATTTCCTTTTTTCAATTTTTTTGTTAATAAACATGTCTTTTGTTAAATCCCCAGAACTTTAGTACTGAAAACTGTGTTCAACACTGCAGCTCTTTTAGGAACTGATATTGTTAAATCACTAGGACTCATCATCCTCTTAAAGCCTATCAATGCTTGGAAGCAAAAGAAAAAAAGATCTGTTTTACTGATTGAGATCAAAGCTGTCTGATAATTTATGTGCAAAATCTAATTTCACTTTTATTTGTTTGAACAAAAGGCAATTAGGACGGGAGAATTTAACAAAATAAAATTTTGCTTTTGTTCTGCTGTACGATCATTTTTTAAACCCCTAAAAATTTAAATATTGCTATATTTTCTTAACCATGGAATATTATTTTAGTTTTATATGCATACATTTTTAGTATGCAATCTGATACAGTAGATATATTCCCGTTTTGTTAATTTAATATGTTACAAATAAAAATATGAAATATTTTCATATCTATGATCACTTATTCAACCCCACTGTATGCAAGTGAGTTTAGTTTATAAATTCAGGTAAAAGAAAACCAACAAACTTCCAATCCCCCCCTTCTCAAAACCAAATAGACTAATCCTGCCTCATATTCAAATTAATTCTTATACTAAGTTGCCTTAGACATGTGAAATTTGTTCACTATTAATGACTAGATTAGTAAATCTGGTTCTGAAGTGGGGGTTTCCATTCTTGTAACCCATTATCTGTTAAATTCATTTTGTTTCTATTCTATTAATGGCATGATCCAAAAATAGCAATTTAATTTGATTGAAACCTGTTTAGGTGGTGTTTGGTTTCATATCCTTAAATGTACTTTTTATTTAGGAAACTACGACAAGGCGATACACTATTTGCTGGAGTTCAAGTCGGAAAGATCAGCCCAAGTAAGTATAAACTAAAGAGAGATACTCAACTTTCATAATTTGTATTTTAATAAAGCAGTCTGAACATGTTACAATATATTTGCATAGATAAATAAATAAATCATAATTTATCTATTAACATTTTAGAGAAAGGCTTTTCCTCTCAGGTGTTGTATAGATTTTTTTTTTCTCTCTCTCTCTCTCTTTTAAATCGACTTTTCCTGCCTGAGTTTATTATGGTTACCCCATTTATTTTTAACCTTTTTAAATTATTTTCAGGAATCTCCCTTTTATGACACCTATACAGTGGTGTCATAAATGGGAGTATGAAAATTTTACAGTCATTAAAAAATGAAATATAAAATACTTCTAACCTTCCATCAGCATGGCCAAAGCTAACCTCCAGGAGAGTGACTCATTGCGCCTTCTCAAACTAAAGTTTTCTGCGGACATGAAGTGGAGAGAGTATAAGTGTGCAGCTTGCAAAGTTGGTTCACTGTGTGTTGTGCTAGATAGTTTTTCTTGCCAGAATCTTATCTTACATGTTTATAAGTCTACCATTCGTCTTTGCTTTGAATATTGCTGCCACATATGGTCTGTTGCTCCTGCTATATATTTAGAGATTCTTGATAAAATCCAAAGAATCTGCAATATTACTAGTCCTGATCTGGCATCTCGGCTTCAGTCACTTTCCCACCACCATGACATAGCTTCCCTTTTCTTTTTGTATTTTTCTATAAATACTTTCACAGTTCTTGTTATGCTGCACTTTCCTCTATGATACCTAGACTTTATGTATTTAAGCGCAATACTAGATTGGCAGAAAGGTCTCATCATTTTACAGTTGAAATGGTTAGATGTAAACATAAGTTCTAGGCTAATAGTTTCTTTTCTCGCAATTCTTACTTGTGGAATTCTCTTCCAGCTTCTTGTTTCCCAGCCAAATTTGATCTTCAAAAATTTAAATGCAATGTTAATCGTTATCTTCTGTCTTCTTAATTCTTGTTCTTTTATTGTCTTTTCTCCTTAATCATATTTTTCTCATATTCTCTAACAGTCAGTAACCCCCCCTGCATCTTAGTGGCTTTATTGCTTTGCTTATGGTGAAAACCTTCAAAAGAGACAAATCTACTCACCTGACATTGACAATTCCATGTTTTGTACATATTGATTCTTTGTAATTTCAAAAAATCCACACAGGCTTAACCCCTTCAGCATTCAACATGCTCAAACCTGCTCCATAAATATCAACTCTCAAAGTATGATCACTGAAGTTAAGCAGTGTCGATCTTGGTCTGTACCAAGGTGAGTGACCATTTTGAAATAACAGGTACTCTAAGCTTGAATGTGTTGGTGATTTAATGTATAACGGCTTGGAATTGAAAATTGGAGAGTTGACATCCAGTTGGTTTCATTATATTCACTTACATGTGAATACCCTTAAGTATGAATCCACCTATTCTCCCCACAGCTATTGGTTAATTATCTCTTAAAGATTTTTACAATCTGAATATATGCAAAGGGTTGATAGGTCATTACATAAATAAATATATATATATATATATATATATATATATATGTGTATACATACACACACACACAGAGCGTGTATACAGCATAGATTTTATAGCAAAATGACCACCAACACATTTTATCTGTAGTTGATGGCATGCAATTGTGTTCAAGATATATTTAGTTGAAGACATAAAATTGTGTTCATATGACACTTCTTACCGGTCAGCCCCTGGTCAATTCCGTCGTTGAAGTACCCATCCCAGTCTGTGGTACTATGGCTCCACCATGTTGTGCATTTTGATCTCTGAGCGAACAAAGACTAAGTTGTTGTCAGCAATCACAGCACTGGTTTGAACCTCAGCAAAGCAGTGTCACAAGGAAAAAAAATAAACACTGTTTTTTGCAGATGAAATAAAAGAAGATAAGAAATTCTTTGTGTCAGTTTTCAATGTGGTTTATATCATTCTTTGTACAGAAATATTAACCCTTCCGATTTTTATTTCTATTGTGACACTTTGCTCATTTTAGCTAAGTCTGGATCAAGGCTTAAGTTAAGAGTTCTCTTTTGCAGCAGATCACGTGGGATTAATCAGCAACTCCAACTGGTGCTGGTTTTTTTCACTGTTCTGTTTATATTGATTTTTACTCAAGACCAGCAAGAGGTGTGTGTGTGTGTGTGGGGGGGTGATGGTATTTGGGGATTCCAGAATTCTTTGTTGTCTGGTTTTGGGAAATTAATTATCCTTCCAAATTTGGAAGACTCCTTTTCTATGCTCCAATAACTCCTTTCTCTTATTTGTGCCTTGTACCATTACCTGCCAATGGGTGGAGACAATCCTGCTGTCTCTCTCAGTATTTCACCTAAGTCTCTCCTCTAAGTTGTCATCTTGACAAGTTTGATTTTTCAAATTCTGTTGGTAAACTGGTTGGACTTTTGGTCATTAATCATATTTATTACTTTAATTGTCGTCAGCACATTTTTCCCAGTTTGATGTCTTGTCTTTATAATCTTAAACTAACCAGTTGCTTCCCTTTTTCCGCATATTTAATTTCTTTTAGGCAAAGTATAAAATCCTCTTCTCTGGGATTGTTTTTACAGTCTTCTAATTTTTACATAGCAATCATCAGTCAGTTTTTCTCCATTTGCTTTCACCTTAAAATTACGAAATTTTATCTCTCAATTGGTGTTCTTGTAACTAGTACTTTTAGTAGATAGTCACTAATTAATTTTTCCCTTTCTGCTTCATTTTCAAAATTCTCGACAGTCTTCAAGTGTATTTTCTCTATTTCTCCTTCCAATCTTTGTGGGTTTACATTTTCCAGATGACTGGGTTTTTCTCAGTACAATCGATCCAGTCTTTGCTCGTTGTCTGGATTTTAAGTTATGTTTTAACTTAACCTTTTTTGCCTTCTATTCCAAATTCAGATTTTAACTTGACCTTTTTTCATTCTGTTTAAAGTTCATATTCCAACTTAGCCTTTTTTTCATTTACCAGTGCCACACTGTTACATTCAAAATATTTAGGTTTCAGCATTAAGTAACCCGTAGACGTTGACATGCTGCTAAACAAAATCAACCAAACAACCAACATGAAAGAACTTTTTCATGACATTAATCCATATAATATCCTACAATTTCTTATGAAACCAAACTGTATTTCAAAATATAACTTCAGCAAAACTGCAACATAAAACATATATCAATGCCTCTAGTAATCCTGTTCCTGCAAGCATGTATATGCACAAAAGCTGAGTATCATCTACCATGTGATTCAGTTGTGGAAGCGGAATAACCTATTTTTATTACTTCAAATCTCTTAAGAAAATTAAATTTCAGCATTAAATGACCCATGAAGGAGTTAATATGCCATTAAACAAACAAACCAAATCAATCAGCTTCAGTGAAATGCACCACCTTACTTTTTTGACCTGCATTCATACTTAGGATTGTTATTGCAATATTTTCTTAAAGTTGTTAAGCTCATGTAATTAACAATCCAATCCAATATGGTGTTTTATAGTCGTAGAACTCGTCAGGATCTTATTCAATCACTAGCAGTAGAGCCCGGCGTTGCAACACTAAGAGATAGATCAAGTATCGACCATCATAAAGACTGAAAAATAAAATTGACAGAGATTATTGTTTAAGGTTGACAGACATGCATGTCTTAATTTTTTTTTTTTTTTTTTTTTTTTACGAATTGGTCAAACCCAAACTCAAACAAAAACATTGTTTTCAATCGTTATGAATCTACCGATTGAATAGAATTTTATTATAAACAATTGTCTTGTAAATAGAATTTTAAAGCATTCTGAATGTAAAAATAAAGAAAAAAGTGTGCAAGACAATAAGAAACACTACCTGCCAAAAAAAAGTGAAGTTTTGTTGAAATCGATTGAAAAATGTAGGAAATCCAATCCAATATATAAACGAACACACACACACACACACACACACACAACCCGGGTTTTATAATAAGTATGATAAACTTAAGAATTATAATTTGTCAGGAAATTCAAATAGATAAACTGAAATTTTCATGGATGCTGCTACTGATTTTAATTTGTTTTCTTTCTTTAAGCAGCCTTTATTCTTTCAGTCAGCTGCTTATTTCATGTTTTTTTTTTTTTTCCCTCAACAGCATAAGGGTCGCATTGCTGACCAAAGGTGCTTCCTTTTCTGATTGTAGGCCATGGCAATCTGTTCAAGATCGTTGACGGAGAATTCCAGAAGCGCGGCATTTTACAAAATGTTACCAATATTAATTGCTGAAAGACCTTTGACCTGTTGGGCTTGAAGTTTGTCGTGTGAAGAGGAGCCAGTTCCAGTTCTGTGGACCAAATTCAGCTTTTTACTATTGAATGGTTTTTAGATCGAAAGGAAATGGAAATGATGTTGAAAGTTGCTCTGCTCCAATCATCATCACCATTTTCATTTTAAATATTGTCTTTTTTCTGGCATTGTGATTAGGTCTTTTATTTTAGAATTATCATTTTGCTACCAATTCCTACTTTTACCTTTGTAATTTCTTTTCTTTTTTTTTTTCTTTAATCTCTTTATTTTCTGTTTTGTATGGCTGTGTAAGTATGTGTGTGTATGTACATCTGAGAATGCTGATATTTTGTTATTTTTGTAACTTTCAATTTCTCTCATCAAAATTTCACTCACCACTCTGAATTGGTTGCATGTAAATACTTTTTTAAATTTTTCCATTTTTTTTTTTTTTCTTTTTTCTTTTTGTACCATAATAAATGTATAGATATTTTTCTTTGTCTATTTCTGTCTTTTCTTTAAAAAAACAAAAGTAGAGGTAAAATGCAAAAATTTTTGCAGTTGTTCAAAGCACCCAATTCCTAGTTAAGCAATTAATTTGGTCAAGAGTTAGATGAGTGACCATTTGGGAATACCAGGTGCTGTAAGCTTGGATGTGTGGGTGGTGTAATGGATAATGGCTCGAAATTGGAAATCGGAGGCTAGAGTTCCAATTCCAGTCATGTTTGTTGTATTCACTTCTGCACAAATACGATTGAGAAAGACATGGATCCATCAATTCTCTCTCCAGAAAACAAATCAGTCTTAGATGAATCGTTGGCTGGTGTATTAGTTTAAAAAAAAGAAAAAGAAAAAGGGAAACTTTTGGGGGGAATAATCTTTGTAGGCTAGCAATCTTTAGACCTTCCTTAAGCTATAACACTTTTCGCAAATGAAAAATAGTACTTTTCATTTTAGAAAGAGGGTGCTGTTTATCATATCAATGCAGTGTCAAATTAACCCCTGACGTTTGCAGAATTATTGGAACTAATTTTTTTGCATATAAAAGAAGACTGTGTGTGTGTGTGTGTGTGTGTGTGTGTGTGTGGAGGATGAGTTTACAAAAGTTCTTTTAAATAGATACGTAGATGTGTAATTAAATAGCAAAAAAGGACATAATATAAGTATGTAAGTGTTTTATTTTCCATTCAAGGAAAATTATTAACAAGTTTGTGCTTGTACTTCTGAAAAAAAATTCTATAAAAAATGGCTTAAAGAGAAATTTTTTTCTAAATTCAGAAAATTAACAAAATATACAATTATCAGTAAGTTTTTTGTGCTACAGAATTTTATAATAGCTAGGAAAAGACAAAATTTATAAGGCATTTTTAAAAGAAAAAGCTAAAAAAAGAACAACCGGTTTCATGCCAGGATTTATCAAGTTTATTTTTCTGGGAATAGAAAATTTAAAAAGCATGTAAATTAAATTTAAATTAATGAATGGGAGAGAAGAAAAAAAAAAATGAATTTCAAGAAACTAGAGTCCAATAACATTCAGACCCAGCAAGCATTCCCTCTGTTTACAAAGGGAAGGTTCACAGGATCTGATATACAAGTAGGACCTTGATAAAATCAAAAAATGGTCCACACTAAAATTAACCACACACTTCCTACTATTTATTATATGCTCAGCAATAGCAGAGCCAGAACTATTGGTTAGTTGGCTCTTCCTGGCAGACGGATTCAAAATCCTGGGTGGGTAAATGTTGTTTTATTCTCAAATCCAAACGCTGGGACGTCCTCCCTATGTAGTCAAGTCCACAACTAAACTTGTATTGGTAAATCACTGAATTAACATGATGGGGAGGGAGGACGTCCTTACAAATGGAAGAGAAAACAGGATGGGTAACAAATATTATCAATGATTTCAAGCTTGAGATTTTTAAATTTGCAATAATGCCATAAAAATCAAGAATTGATTTTTACATTGTGTTGCTATGATAAAAACAATCCACCTTCAAAATAAATAACAAAATAATATTATTAATTCTGATGAGAGTCACAACCAAAAGAAGGTCTGTGTCATGCTAACGTTTCTCTTTTCTATTTATATAATGCAACCGGGTTTGAATTATGTTTTTATTATTGTTATAACTCTTAGTGGTTATAATATTGGGTCTTGCTTACACTACTAGCCGCAATATCTGTTAGAAATTCTCCTGGCTGACTCCAACAGACTACCCTGCCTCATTTGGAGTTCTTTATTTAAGGCATTGTTACCCACAAACCGTTCAACTTGTCTATTTGACTTCGGGTGATGTGGCAATCGAGAATCTTTAAATTTTGTTTTTAATTTTATTAACTTTTCAATCAATCTTCCTGCAATTTTGGCAGTTATCATCCAGTTTGTAGGCTCTTCCTTCTTTCTTCTCCTTTTTTGTTTGATCAATCTCCAGCACTCCCTGTGTCATATTGGAAGTTGTTTTTTTTTTTTTTTTTTTCCCCCCCTCCTTAAAAATTTCAGATCAGTAAAGCTATCAACTACCACAAGATAATGTGATCTGTTTATTGGGCTTGCAAAATCTGTGCACAGTTTTGACCATGGAGTATCTGTCTTTGACCAAGGTTATAATTTCGTGGTAGGTGATTTTGCTGCCAGAGCACAACCTTTTGTAGGCTTTTACTAATTTTTCGATGTCTTTGTCCATTTTGGTCAAGTATACATAGCTTCCCATAAGAGATTTCATCTTTGAAATTCTTTTAATATCCACTGTTGTAATATGCTAGGTATTATTATTATTCTTTGTGAATATTCCGGGGTGAAAGAACTTGGGGAATTTTCTGCTTGAATTTTATTGTTGTTTCTGGACTTTCAACAACTTCTGTTGTATTTTTAGCCCTTGGGCAAATAATTCTTCCTTATTTGAAGAATATCTTTTTTTTTTTTTTTCCTCTTCACACACACACACACACGCGAAAGGAAAAAGTTAACCAATGTTTTTTTCTTATAGTGGAACACACCTATTCTATAGTTAATAAACTCTTCCACCTATAATAAGTAGGAGTAGTAGCAGTTGCCAGTCGCTCAGGGAGTTGATCAGTCAGTCGATGTCGGACAACTGTTAGTCGAATACTAAAAGTATCAGTAACCACCACTAGATTTCTCTGCGTCATTACCTATTATATCAAGTTCCTAACGTTTTGTACGTCGAACCTATTTTAGGACCGACTTAGTGCAAATACAAGCCTCCACTGTGAAACTACTCTATAACAGTTTCTAATTTCTCTGCGTCACTGTTATGTGCCAAAGCAAAAAAAAAAAAGGGCTTTTTTCCAACTCAGTATGAATTTTCAATCCTATGTTCAGATTCCCTTCAGGATATGGCTCTCCCCGATTTCTTAACAGTTATAGCCCTTAGTAACGTTTGTCTTTTTACCATCCTTCCAACACCCTATTCTATCATCCATTTACACAATCTCATTAGGTAGGCCTACTCACTGCTTTCCTTTATCCCTATTGTCAATAATTTATGCTTCTCTGAGCTAATTTAGCATTTGAAATAATTGCTAAAATTGCATTGTCAATTGATTTTGCTGAAATGGGTGTTCGGGTAACATGTTAAAACAGTTGATAAATTAAAAAAAAAAAATGTATAAATTTTTAAAGAGAAAATTATTTTTAGATTTTAAAAAAAATTATTAAATTTAATTTTTTTTTTTTTCTTCTTTTTTTTTCAAAATCTAAAAAAATAAGAGAAAGAAAGAAAATCACTTTTCCCAAAGAATAAAATTTTACAGGGAATAAAAGCAGGTTTAAAAAGTTCACTTTGACCGTCCAAACATATAACTTTCTGGGTCAAGAAATCAATTATCAATTATCAAACAATACAAAATCAAAAAATCCTGAGATTAAAATTCTGGACTCTGTCTTTCTCAAAGGTGACCTTAAACACTTCAACTTTGATTAAGTGGAGCACAAGGAAACTGTCACTCAGCTACCCCCCCACCTTACACCATCATTTTCCAAATCTTTATATTATCTTTTGGTATTGTTTCGTGTCACCTTAATAAACATTAAAATTCGGTTGATCTAAATCTGAGTTTCTCAAAATGGCTGATACCACCTACTCGTGGAGAATAGAAATTTTGGTGGGTGATATATAGAATTTTGATTATTAAAAAGGTATTATGCTACCTGAAAAAATATTTTAAGGAGGTATGCAAAGAAAAAAAAACAATGAATAACTGACCCATATTCAAAGATAAGATATAAATATCCTGGCAAACAACGAATATTTTGGTATTTTTTATAGTTTTGAAATGGGCCATTAACATTGGAATAGTTCTTGAGATGAAATGAAATTTTTTTTCTTCTTTTATTTTATTTTTTATTTTTTATTTTTTTTTCAATTAAGAAAAGACCAAGAACAACAACAACAAAAAATATTCAATGAATTTTTATTAGTTGCTTGTAGTGTATATTCTTTTTAATTTTATAATTATGAATAAAAATTGTTTCATTTTTTGCTGCCAGTTTCAACCTACGCTAAATATATACATAGTTTTCTTTCCTTTGTTCTTTAATATGGTAGCTGCTGCTCCACAAGTCAACATTATTTGTTACCTCCCTTTGGTATTTTTTTTTTTTTTTAACATCATAAAGTCAGTTTACGAACCAGTAACAAACTTTTACCAAACAATATTGATATGCTTTAGGATGTAAAAAATGATTACTTCTACCTCATAAATAATGGATTATTTGGTTTTGATTGTGAGGAAAAGACTACTTAGCTTCAACAAGAAAATGAAAGAAGGGATGATTGAAGCAGAGAAAGAGAATCAAATTTAACTGGTTAGAACAGTTACTACACTTTGATATTAGCCAAAAGGCCGAAAAGTGACTGTATTTTCTTGCCAACCCATGTTCGCGGGATGTGACACAAGGTCAGCATAATGTGGAGTTCATCGGTATTACTACTGGTCTTTGCACTTTAGTGCAATGAGGGAAGTATAGCCACAGA